GGAGGAGGAGGAGGAGGAGGAGGAGGAGGAGGTGGAGGAGGAGGTGGAAGAGGGAGGAAGGGGAGGAAGAAATGGAGGAGGAGGAGGAAGAGGAGGAGACGATGGAGGAGAGGAGGAGGAGGAGGAGGACGAGGAGGAGGAGGAATAAAAGGAGGAAGGTGGGAGGAGGAAGCGTAAGGAGGAGGAGGAAGAGATGGAGGAGGAGATGGAGGAGGAGGAGGAAGACGGGTCGCCTAAGCCCTTCGGAGAATCCCTCCACCCGCAGGATGGCGCACGACGCCAGCGACACCACGGCGGGGCCAGACTCTGAGGGCCAAGGGGACGCAAGCCCAGCCACGAGCGGGCCACGATGGCTACGCCGCGCGGCGGGCCGCTCCCCTCCTCGAAAACCCCAAACACCCAGAGCGATTTCCGGCTTTTTCCTGCGGCACCAACACGGAACAATATCCACTGGGCCGCCCGCCTTGAACCTGGCACCCTGAATCAGGGGCACGCGGGATGAGCGCGCGGGCAGCCGCTCCTTCGCCGGGAACCAGGCGCCCCCACTGATCGTCTCCACGATCAGGCTTAAAGGCTGCACGGGATGGCTCGGAGCGCCAGCTCTAAAGCGTGTGTTTATATATATATATGTATGGATAGAGAGATGGAGAGAGAAAGACTCAAAAAAGAAAAAGAGAAAGTGAAAGAGAAAGAGAGAGAGAGAAACAGACAGAGAAAGAGACAGGGAAACAAACATAGAGAGAGAGAGAGAGAGAGAGAGACCGCCGCGCGGTCAGCGCGGAGCGAAGCGCCGAACGCTAGAACAATTCGAAACAGCTTGCCGACCTCCCCGCCCCTCGGCTGGAGAAGGGCTTCCCTTGCTACAGCGCTCCCATGCCAACTCACGCGCGAAGGCGCGCGCGTTGTCGAGCATGTTCTCGGGCGCCGCGACGCAAGGCTCGGCCTGCACCGCCGTGTTCCCAAGAAGACGGCCGCCATAGCACCAGGCGAAACACTGGGCGAGGCAGCTTCAGGGCCCCGGGCAACAGGACCCCCAGTTCATCCATCACCTCCTTCAGCTGCAGCGCCCTCTTCTCCGACGCCCCTCTTCCTGGTCGCCTCGCGCATCCGTGGAGCTTGGTGCTCGATCTTCGCCCGCTTGGCCGAGCCCACCGCCTTGGCGATGAAGTTCTTAGTCGCGTCGCGGATGCTGCCACTGAGCAACGCCTTCCGCTCGGAGGCCGTCGCAAGGTCAGCCGCCTCCATGCCGCCATCGGGGCCCCGGTCGAGCAAGTCGCCCATGTCCATGTCGAAGCAGGCCACCTTGCCCTCCGGGAGGTCGGCCAAGGCGACCGACGGCCGGCAACTCTCGCCCTTGACCCGACCCTCCGCCGCGACGCTCGCGACTCTGGTGGACAGCCCAGAGCGGGCCGGGCACGGCAGATCCAGCTCCTCGTGCATCGCGAGGACGAGGGCCTCCTGCGCGGAGCCCTTCGCCTTCCAGTCCTCGAGAACCTGAAACTCGCACCGCGTCGTCTTGCCGAGCATGATCCGCCCCCTCTGCGCGCGCACGCCACCTGTTCCTCGAAGGGCTCGTACGACTTGGCGGGCGGCTTGCGGGCGTCGAGCATGCGCTGGTAGCCATGGGCCTCCGACGCGCTGCCAACCTCCCTGCGAAGCTCCACGAAAGTCTCGAGGCCGGACAGCGATATCTCAGCTCCATGACGGGCGGCCCGAGGCGCACCCTGAGCGGGGCCAGGTGGCAGCGGAGGACGAGGAAGCTGCCCAGGGGGGCCGCGCCACGAGAACGCTGCACTGCCACCGAAGCCGCCTCATCCTTGGCCCTTGCCACGGGCATTCTTCCCGTCGCCGCCAGCCCCTTTGCCTCCGCCAGCTTTGTCTCCGAGGAAAGCAGGCGATTGAGGACCATGTGCGAGCGCCGGGAGGCGTCCTCCAGGGGGCGAACCAGCCCATGCGCCGCCAGGAGAATGAGCAGACCAAAGAGACGACGCACTGCTTGCACCAGGGTGTCGTCGTCTTGTTCCTGCCACAACCGCACGAGCTGCACTTCCACGTAGAGACACGCGTGAACGGACGGCACGTTCGCCATGGGAACCCCTCGCCCGCCTGGCGCCTATCCATCCGCGCGCTGAGGCATGCGGTCTATCGACCTGAATGGGTAGCAGAAACGATGCCGCATGCCAGTGACCCGCAACAACACAGCCGTTCTGAAGCCCGCTGCAGCAAGCCCAAACCTGGACCAGAACGGCTGGATGAGGAGGAAAGGGAGGAGGATCGGCCCGCCGAGGGGGCACGGTTGTGGCTGCGCGACACGCAGTTGCCCTTGTGACCGAGCCCGTCTGTCTGTCTGGTCGGGTTATGGAGGGCTTAATCGGGTCGTCCGAGGGCCAAATCTTATCCGAAGCGTTCGGCGGCCGGCAAGTCGACAGCCTACGCAACTCCTCCCTTGCACCACAGCTGGCAATGCATCAGCGTGACCGAATGGGATGGGCGCAGAGTCTTGCCACCGACACGGAGGGAGGGGCAGGCCGAGGGAGGAACGGGGTGGGCACGGTTTCTCACGCGTCCATTCGTCTCCCGCACCTCGTGCCGGTCCTAACTTACAGCGGAAACCAAAGAAAGCCAACGCTTCTTGTCCTTAGGGTGCTGCTGTATGCAGTGGCCCGTCGCACGCTCGAGCTCCTGCCGAAACGATGGTATCTTCATCGACCTCGGGCGCGGAACGGGACGCCGGTGCTTGACCCTGGGCTGCGAGTACACGTCTGAGGCAACTGCCGCCAGGCGCGTGTACCCGTGGCGGAAGGTGTTCATGAACTCTCACACGGACTGCAGCCAGGTAGGAATTGAGCTTCTCGAGTGTGGCTCGGGCGATCCTGCCTGTCGGGCTTGTGGAGGATGGCTTCCTTGACCCGCTGCCACCACTGCCTGTGGGGCCCTTGAGTGTGCAACCAGAGCCTGCAGTGCCAGCCGTTGTAGACCAGCGCATTGTCCGTCCAGATGTCGAGGAGCCACTGGGTGTAGCGGATACAAAAATCGAAGGCTGCCAGCTCCACACACGGGACCGTCTGGGTCCCATCAACCCTGCCGAACATTCCAGAAAACGGGTCTTCGTCGGGAATTTTCCGAAATCCAAAGCCACTCCTCAAACAGCTCTGGCTATCCGAGGGTCCGCCGAATTAGATGATCCGTCGAAGTAGGCTCCATAGGGCTGGAGGTGCGTGCCGTCAATCCGCGTGTAGCTCAAGTACTGGGGAACGTCATCCAGGTCCACACCGTAAACGCTTTGTATTTCTCTCCACTGAGGGGCCTCTGGAACCTCGTTGAGCCTTGAAGAGAGGATACCACTCCACCAGAGCATCTTCAGATCAGGCTCCTCCATCATGGATTGCACTGCCCTTCGTTCAAGGTCTTGGCAATCATGGTCGATGTCGTGACTTTGGGGGCACTGGTTGAAGCGATGGCGCAGGTCTTCCGTAGCTCCACCTCAGCGCGGGCACTTTGCCTCGCAGCCGTCTTTTCCAGCGAATTCCGCTGCGCAGTCCAGCAGCAGCCGGTGATGACGTTCTCCAGCGCACCTGCCTCCTTGAACATGATATTGCGATGCATCAGGGGAGGAGGAGGAGGAGGAGGAGGAGGAGGACGAGGAGGAGGAGGAGAACGACGAGGATGACAAGGAGAAGGACGACGAGGAGGACAAAGAGAAGAAGGACGGCCCGAGTAAAACCAAGATGCATCAACGATGCAGCAATACGTCCACCCGTCCCAAGTCCCCTCCTCAATGCCCCATACAAGAAGATTGGCCGGCCCAGCGGGCCAAAGGCGCGCCAGAATCTTGGGCAAGAGATCTACCATCGCTGCTCCGAGCGCGCGTGGCGACTCCTGGAGGTCCCCGAGCGAAAGGTACGATTCTCAGACGAGTCGGCACGGAGATGGTCCCCGTCCTGGGCGCGGCCTTCCAGGCCCCCGAGGGTGCTCCCGGAGCGCCCCACCAGGCCCCCCAAGAGAGCCCAAGAGGATCCGACACGGTCCAAGAGCGCCCTAAGACGTCAAAGCCGGCTTCTCAACGGCAGGCCCTCAAGACACCTCAAGAGCGCCCCAATTGGACCCAGGGCCCAAAGAGGCAAAATTGATGGATTTCCACAAGGGCTTGAAGGACTTTAACGTTCTCACTTTGAGGGTTCCAACGCTCCGAGACGGCCCAAGGGGCCCCCAAGGTCGTCCCAAGACGGTCCAAGAGGCTCCCAAGACAGCCCGAAAAAGGCCCTAGAGGCCCCAAGATGGCAAGAGGGCCTCAAGACGGGTCCAAGGTCTCTGCCCCGAGACGACCATCCAAACCACCAACAAACCCTCGAGAGACCGTCAAGAGGCCCTGAGAGGCCCCAATGTACCCCTAAGAGGCTCCCAGGAGGTAGCGTGAGGTCGTTTTAAGAGAAACGTGCACGCCGAAACCGCGAGGGCCAAATTTTGAAAACAGCTACTCCATCCATCCGTGCAACTGCTGGGGAAGCTGAACACAAATGTGCGCAGAATTCGGGCGGCAACCACATGTTCAACAAAAAACGCCATCCATTCGTGTGACTGCTGCTGGCTTGATTTAAGGCGAAGTTTCCGGACTCGACCGACTCAACCTGTTTTTGCATCATTTTCATCATCATCGTCATCATCGTCGTCATGATATTCATCATCGTCCGCGTCATCGCCATCATCATCATCATCTCCTCATCAACGTCATCATCATAATATCCACTATCATATCCTCGTCATCGTCATCATCATGTAGTGATGATGATGATAAAATCAAGACCCGCATGACGATGATGGCGGCGTGAACATGTTGATACTGATGATGATGATGACGATGATGACGAAGTCGATGATGATTGCGATGACGATGGCGATGAAGATGATGATTTCGGACTGCGCGGGCCGTGCTGCCTATCAATCGGAAAGCCCCTCCGTGGAAGCGGGCCACCGCATTTCGTCAAGCACCTCCGCGAGGTCGGGCAGCGCCACGGGGGCCCGCGCCAGGTGATCGGCCACGACGTGGTTCACGACGTTGACGAACTCCTTCGGGCCAGGCGCGGCGTCGATCCTGCGCGCCCTGAACTCCCGAAAGGCGTCGGAGCGGATCATGACCGCGATCTGCAGCCTGCCGTCGTCTACGCGCTGTTGCAGCTCGTGGTGGGTCGCGAAACAGTCCTGGCAGTCCGCGGAGGCGTGGCGGTGCACGTTGTGCTCGAGGGAAGACAGGGTGCCCATGTAGAATGACCCAGGCTTTTGCTCGAGGGTGACGACCCTTCCGCAGGAGGCTGTGCTCGAGGGTGGCGCCCCATCATGTGCTCCCAGGACCCCTGGGATCCTCACTTGCACGGAGCGCGCCCCGAAAATCGTCACGGCCGCGTGCAACAGGGAGCACCCGCCATCTGTGTGCCAACCATCGCCCCGTGCGCCTGGTTGCATGAGCTGGATCGATGCGTACGCGAACGCGTTGTCGGCGAAGTGCTCTGTCATGATGGGCATTCCGTTCTGCTCGACGATGGCAGGTGGCATGCCGGCGCATTGTGTCTCCCAGCTGTTGCAGCCACGGGCGCATCTTCTTCCGCAGCGCTCGCACGAAGGCGGCCATGTGGGGCGAGGGGGTGATCTGCAAATTCCCGCCCTTGTTGAGGCTGCGGCACTTCGGGGGGCTTTCGTCGCCCACGATGCCTGCGACCTCTGTTTTCAAGCCCTTTGCCGCCTCGTCGCCTCGAACGCATTTGGAGACGGTTGCCCCCGTGTCCAGGCGCTCCTCGGCCAAGTTCTGCCAGCGCGGGTCTCTCTGCAAGAAGCGGAGCAAGTCTGGGTCCAGCTCCGCCTCCGCTACCGTGCCCGTGCCGTTTTTTCCCTGCGCCATGGAGATGCGCGCGACGAGCTGGGCGCCAGCCGGCTGCAGGAAGCGACGAGCCCTTAGACGACTGATTGTCGCTCTGGCGCCAGGGCGCCAAAGCAGGCAGCTCTCGGCGGCCTTCAACAAGTCTGCGGGGCAGTCTGCAAGTTCGTCAACGGGCCAGCGCCCTCGGCCGTCGAGTGCCTTCGCTGTTTCAGCCTTTAGCCAACCCTCGCCCGACCGCTTGAACCACTTCTCAAAGAAAGGCAGGTTCTCCAGCCACGGCGCGGGTTCCTGGCCCTCGTAATTGTAGAAGTCTCCCGACCCTGGCTCCTTGCCTGGGATCCCCAAGACCTCCCGGGAGAAAACCACGAAGTCTTTCGGGTGCTCCCCTGGGGGATGCCCGAGCGCGCCGCAAGGCTCTGGTGGTTGGAACAACGCCTTGCGCGTGCACAACTCCGCCATCAGGCGCCCGATGGACCGCGTGCCCAGGTCCTCTGAGTAGCGCTGGTTCCCCAAGAAAACGTCTACCGCTCTGTAAGCGGGCGTGCATACTCTGAGGTCATCGCAGGTCGGGCTGTAGCGCAGTTTCCTCTTCAACCTGCCGTGGGGATCCGCCATCTGCACACAGCCGAGGTCGGCGAGCACCACCTGCGGAGAGGGGCGGACGGAGGAGAGGGGAGCTCTAACATGGCACGTGATACCATGTTAGAGCTCCCTGGGAGCTCTAACATGGCACGTGATACCATGTTAGAGCTCCCAGGGAGCTCCGTGGAGCTCTAACATGGCATGTTAGAGCTCCATGGGAGCTCTAACATAGCATGTTAGAGCTCCCTGGGAGCTATAACATGGTATCAT